GGCCAACGTGGTGAAACCCCGTCTCTACTAAAAATATAAAAATTAGCCGGGCATGGTGGTGGGTGCCTGTAATTCTAGCTACCCGGGAGGCTGAGGCTGGAGAATCGCTTGAACCCAGGAGGTGGGGGTTGCAGTGAGCTGAGATCGTGCCACTGCACTCCAGCCTGGTCAACAAGACTGGAACTCCGTCTCAAAAAAACTAAAAATAAATAAATAAATAAAAACAGACACACAGATTAGACAACCCAAAAATAAAGCCACATACCTACAACCAACTGATCCTTGACAAAGTCAACAAAAATACACATAGGGAAAAATACTCTATTCCATAAATGGTACTGGGGAAACTGCATAGCCATAGGCAGAAGAATGAAACTGGACACAAACTTCTCTCCACATAAAAAAATTAACTTAAAATGTATGACCTGAAACTACAAAGTCCTAGAAGAAAAATGACCTGAAACTATAAAAATCCTAGAAGAAAACCTAGGAAAATTCTTCTGGACATTGGCCTAGACAAATAATTTATGATCAAGTCCTCGAAAGCAAACACAAAACAAAATAGATAAATGGGACTTAAACTAAAAAGCTTTTGCATAGCAAAAGAAACAATCAACAGAGCACCAAAAGACAACCTACAAAATGGGAAAAAAATATTTGCAAAAGAAAGTATCCAACAAAGGCTAATATCCAGAATCTATAAGGAACTCAAACAACTCAACAAGGAAAAAAAAATAACTTCATTAAAAAGTGGGGAAAGGACATCAACAGACATTTTTTCAAAAGAAGACATGCAAACTACCAACAAACATGAAAAAAAAAAAAAAGCTCAACATCACTTATCGCAAGAGAAATGCAAATTAAAACCACAATGAAATACCACCTTATACCAGTCAGAATGGCTATTACTAAAAAGACAAAAAAACAACAGATGTTGAGGCTGGGCATGGTGGCTCATGTCTGTAATCCCAGCAATTTGGACGCTGAGGTGGGTGGATCACTTGAGGCCTGGCGTTTGAGACTAGCCTGGTCAACATGGTGAAACCCTGTCTCTACTAAAAATACAAAAATTAGCCGAGTGTGGTGGCACACGCTCGTAATCCCAGCTACTCGGGAGGCTGAGGGGGGTGAATCGCTTGAACCCAGGAGGTGAAGGTTGCAGTGAGCTGAGATCACGCCACTGTACTCCAGCCTGAGCAACAGAGCGAGGCTGTTGCTCTGTTTCACAAAAAAACAAAAAACAACAAACAGATGTTGGTGCAGATGTGGAGAAAAGGGAATGCTTTATACACTGTTGAAGGGAATCTAAATTAGTACAACCTTTATGGAAAACAGGATGGAGACGTCTTAAAGAACTAAACATAGAATTAACCTTTGATCTAGCAATCCCATTACTGTGTATATACCCAAAGGAAAAGAAATCATTATATCAAACAACAACAACAACAACAACAAAAAACACTTGTATGTTTACTGCAGCACTAGTCACAATACCAATAATATGGAATTAACCTAAGTATCCATCAATGGAGGACTGGATAACAAAATTGTGTGTATATCTATATCTATATCTCACTTTGAATACTACTTAGTCATAACAAAGAATGAAATCATGTCTTTTGCAGCAAGATGGGTAGAACTGGAGGCCATGATTCTAAGTGAAATAACTCAGAAACAGAAATTCAAGTATCAACATGTTCTCACTTTAAGTGGGAACTAAACAATGTGTATGCATGAGCATACAGAATAGAATGACACTGGTGACTATAAAAAGTGTGAGGGTGGGAGAAGGTGAGGGTTGGAAAATTACCTATTGGGCACGATGTTCACTATTTGGGCGATGATGGGTACACTAAAAGCCCAGACTTTACCATGTAAGAAAAATGCACTTGTATTCCTTAAACATTTTAAAAATTAAAAAGAAAAAAAAAGGGAAGGGGAAGCAAGCGGTAAGCACTCAGGGGAAGCAGCATCAGCACTCCAGGGCCACAAGGACGCTGAGCTGTGGGTTCTGTGACCAACTGCCCTCTGCTGGTGAATAGAAATAATGAGTGGAAAGAGGACCAAAGGCTCATTTCAGGTTGAAGGTGTCAAGATCTTTTTCAGTCTTTTATTAGAGAAAAATTCAAACTTAAATCACAGACAGAAGAGTATAAAACAGCCCCATGCATCTTTACCTAGCTTTGACAATATATCAGCTCATGGCCAATCTTGTGTCATCTACCCATTACCCACTGCCCTCTGCCATGTTTTATTTGGAAGCAAATCCCAGACAACATATCATTGCATCTGGAATTATTTTAGTATGCATTTCTAAAAGAAAGGGATTTTTTTTTTAAAAAGCTCCATACCACCACCATCGTCACAACTGAAAAATAATTAGCAATAATTCTAATAATTCCAATAATTCCTTATAGCATGGGACGCCAAAACCAAAACAAATAATTAAGCCTCACCCGAGGAGGATCACGGCAAGGGAGAGGCAATCATGTACAATTCAGATTAACAGCATGAATCACCCAAACAAACAAAAGTACTTCATCTTCAGTGTTGCCAGAGTAAACTAGCAGGAACATAGATTAAATGAATATCTTAACTGGAAATGCAAAGCCATGCACCCAAATGGTAGGAAAATATTTAGTTCAGTAGATGTGATGCAAGTGCTACTAAGTCTTTGTTGAAACTTTTAATTTATACAATATTTTTATTATTATAATTTTTTTTTGAGACAGAGTCTCACTCTGTCACCCAGACTGAAGTGCAGTGGCGCGTTCTCAGCTCAATGCCGCCTCGACATCCTGGGCTCAGGACTACTACGGGTGCACACCACCATGCCCAGCACTTTTTTTTTTTTTTGAGACAAAGTCTCACTCTGTCGCCCAGGCCAGAGTGCAGTGGCACAATCTTGTCTCACTGCAACTTCCACCTGCCAGGTTCAAGCAATTCTCCTGCCTCAGCCTTTCGAAACTGGGACTACAGGCATGCACCACCACACCCAGCTAATTTTTTGTACTTTAGTAGAGACGAGGTTTCACTATGTTGCCCAGGCTGATCTCAAACTCCTGGGCTCAGATAATCCGCCTGTCTCAGCCTCCCAAAGTACTAGGATTACAGGCATGAGCCACCACACCCAGCCTATTTTTCATATTTTTTGTAGAGATGGGGTTCCACCATGTTGCCCAGGCTGATCTGGAACTCCAGGACTCAAGTGATCCTCCTGCCTTGGCCTCCCAAAGTGCTAGGATTATAGGTGTGAGCCACTGCATCTGGCCTATTTTTATTATTTTTAAAGAGACAGGGTCTTGCTGTGTTGCCCAGGCTGGTCTTGAACTCTTGAGCCCAAGCAATCCTCCCACCCTGGCCTCCCAAAGTGCTGGGATTATAAGTGTGAGCCACCACACCTGGCCGTGTTGAATCTTTCCAGTGATTCAGGAGAGCAACACGGTCCTTAAGGGCCAAATGCTCAGAGCGGTGCAGTTGGGCTATGAGACACTGAGAGGTGTGACCACACCAGCTCCCCAGCAATCTCAAACTCAGGGATCAGAATTAGGTTGAAAGATCACTCCCCTTTTTGGGCTACCTCTGTGCTATTTCTCCCTCTCTCACAAATTTCTGTTAGCATGTCTCTTTTCCCTTCTAGATTATAAGCCTCTGGAAGGCAGTATAGCATTTGATATGGTTTGGCTCTGTGTTCCCACCCAAATCTCACCCTGAATTGTAATAATCCCCACATCGTGGGAGGGACCCGGTGGGAGGTAATTGAATCATGGAGGCAGGTCTTTCCTGTACTGTTCTCATGATAGTGATTAAGTGTCGTGAGCTCTGATGGTTTTATAAAAGGGAGCTCCCCTGCACACGCTCTCTTGCCTGCCGCCATGTAAGACATGACTTTGCTCCTCATTCACCTTCCGCCATGATTCTGAGGCCTCCCCAGCCATGTGGAACTGTGCATCAATTAAATCTCTTTCCTTTATAAATTACCCAATCTCAGGTATGTCTTTATTAGCAGCGTGAGAACAGACTAATTCAGCATTGTGTTCAATTTTGTATCCCGAGCAGCTGGCACATGAGAGATGCTCAATGGATGCTTGCATAGAGAAAGCCTGAACCAGAAAAGTCCATCAATCACTTGATGATGCCAAATGTTGGAAAAAATGGGAAGAAAAGAGTATTCTCCTACTCTGCTTGTGGGACAATGAACTGATACAGCCACTTTGCCCTCCAAAGAGATGTCAAATATTTAGACCATAAAACAAGAATAGGATGCAAAAAACGGGAGCATTCAGAGAACAAGAAAAGAGAGAGTTCCTGGAAATTATAAACACTCAACAGAAGGGTTGGAAGCTAAAGTTGAGAAATTCGAGAAAATCTCCCAAAGCAGAGCAAAAGAACAAATAGATAAAAAATAGAAGACAAAAACCAAAGGACTAATCTAAGAGATCCAATATTTGAATATAAGGAGTTCCAGAAAGAGAACAGAGAAAACAGATGGGACGAAATTAAAGAAAAAATTTAAAACATTTTCTTATACGCTTATATTCTGAGTTTCCCAACAGAAAGGGCAATGAGTTCCTGGTGAAACAGATAACAGACTCACATTAAAGCACATCACTGAGAGAATTCAGAGCACTGGGGAAAAATAAAGACCTAACATGCTTCCAGAAATAACATACACAAAGTATTAAGAATCAGATTGGCTTTAGACATAGACAACAATCCTAGAAGTAAAAGATAAATGCAGCAATGATCTCAAAATTTTAAAGGAAAGTGATTTCTAATCTATACCCAGCCTAAGTATTAATTATGGGTGAGGGCAGACAAAAAAGACTTTCAGACATACATGGTCTCCAAATGTGCCTTCCATGTTCCCTTTCTCAGGAAATTACTGGAAAATGTGCTTTACCAAAATGAGAGTGTGCACCAAGCAAGTGAAAGACATGAGATACAAGAAATGAGGGACCCCCTACAGGGGACAGTGAAGACACTCTCCATGAGAGAACATTGTGCAGGGAAGGAAAGGTGTACTATGTGGCTCACCATACCATCAAACTGAAAACTAGCCAAAGCCACGAGACAACTATATTCGGAGGACAGAGGGATGGGAGGGTGAGTACATCTGATGAGGGTGGGTGCCAGAGTTGAATTCTAACCTCCCATAGAGAGAAGTCAATAGATGATACTAAAGTTGAAATGTAGAGAAGGAGCAAGGAAAACTCACCATTTAGAGAAATGGCAGTGAAAACAAAAATAACCCACTAAGACAGATGGAAGCAGTGGTCTCAGAGAAGGGGAAGAGGAGAGGGAGCACAGGTGCTGCTGTTTTTGCAATCCTATGCATCTGTAACTCTGATAAATAAAACAACATGAGGAAAAAACCCTGCACACAGGAAGTATCTCGGAAAATTCAGAAGGGTAGTAAAGCTTCCAACAGCACTGCCAATGGTCTGACGTTGTTAGACCACCAGATTCTGCTGCTGTTATGCCTGTTTGTACCTTACTGCAATATCCCAGTTTATGGCCATCAAAGCTCAGCATTTCACAAGCACTTAAAAGAGACAAAGCTTTAGTCAGCAGGTATGTTATACATGGATTTCTAAAGCTCTTACCAGCAGTAAAAATGCCTTTCGTGCTCTGTCTTATACTAGAAGGTCTCACGATTGCTGAGAGCCCTGTGAGATAAAAACAAAAAGGAGACCAAAAAACCCAAAACAGATGTTAGTCATCTTAACAGTTTTAAAATTTGAAACTAAATATTCTTTCTAGTCAGCCAATCAAACCACCAAATCTATCTCTGTCCTGCTGTCACAGTGACAATGAAAACGGCACTGGAATTGAGGGCCAGGAGACCAGAGCAGCCAGCCGCGGCGCCACCCGGCTGTGTGAGTCCAAGCCGGTGACCGAACAGCTCTGCACCTCCTCCCCTTAAAACAAGGGGGTGGGTTAGCTGACCCTCAAAGGGTCAGATTTAAGATTTTATGACTTAAATCTGCCTGAGATTTCTGGTTCTCAATTGCATAACATGAAAAGATAAAAACCAAATGATTACATCTACGAGAAAAACTTTCATTCTGAAAATACACATACGGATTCCACAGTGAGGAACAAGTTTCACTCCCCTCAAAGAGACAGCCCAGATCACACTGTTGCCAGGATCACATTCAAACAAACAGTCTGCCTCATACAGAGCTATCTTCAGGATGGGGAGCTGGTGACCCAGTGCAAACCTAGTCAGGCCCAGGCGGAGAGTGGGAATGGAGCACTTGCTGCAGCTCATGTTCCACTGCAGTGTGATGGTCTCAGCAAAGCATTTCCGTAAATTCTATCTGGCACCTCAGTACATATTTACTGAATGAAAACAGGAGAATGCACTCAATTGACAGAGAGACTCATTCTCAATTTTATAAATATTTCTTGATTGACTGATCTCATAAATTACCTTTAGCACCTTAAAGGGAAGTTAGTGTCTGAAGATCAGGTTCAGGATTTTTTTATTATTATTTTTTTTTAAGAGATAAGGACTGCTCTATCGCCCAGCCTGGAGTGTAGTGGTATGATCCCAGCTCACTGCAGCCTCCAACTGCTCAAGCGATCCTCCCACCTTAGACTCCCAAGTTAGCAGAGACTATAGGCACATGCCACCATGCCCAGCTACTTTTTAAATTTTTGCAGAGACAGAGTCTTGCTCTGTTGCCCAAGCTGGTCTCAAATTCCTGGCCTCAAGTGATTCTCCCTCCTGGACTTCCTAAAGTGTTGGGATTACAGGCATGAGCCATTGCACCTGGCCTGGGTTCAGAGTTTTGGATAAACATTAGGGCAGGGCTGGGGAAAATGCTGTGGAACGTGGGCCATGTCTGAGGGAATGCACTGAACACTGTATGAGACACATCAAATGGAGTTGATTGAGGAAAGCTGTGTTCTCGATGTTACAAAAGCACAAAAAAATGCCACCAATCTCTTTTCTCAGACCACCACAAAGAACACAGACATATCTTTTAAATAAATTCTAGAAGTTGTGCTCTAGAAACCAAAAGAAACATTGTTTCTCCCTTTGACAGTGATTTAGGATCCAGAAATTTAAAAATAGAAGTATTTTCACCATGTTACTTCAAACAAGCAAAAATTCAGATTTAGAAAAACCCTCAAACTTTTAGTGCTTTCTTCTTCTGAGAGGCAATCTCTCTATTTCACTAAACAAAAAGGAAGAAATAGTATGTCCCAATCACAAAGTCCGCTTTTCCCCACGGCTGGCATTTCCTCAACCTCAAATTCATAAACGTACCTAGTCGCACCACATCTCCACAGTCGGGATCATGAGCCACTTGAAATAAAGTTTCTTCCACATCTCTGTTTTTTCCAGGAGAGTCCATAATATGATGTATCTGTTGCTGTAAGCTTTTGGGCAATGTCATCAGCTGAGTGAATTGTCCTTCTGGGCTTTTATCTATCTGAAGGGGGGAACAAAGACAATGTCTATGGAAGTGCTTTAAAATCTACAAATACTCACAGACACAGGGCTTCTCTTTCAAAATCACACAGACATATATGCACCCACACCCCTGGCGAGGCAGCACGCTAAGGAGACTCTCTTTTCTGAAACTGAATGGGTTCAGTTCAGGAGTCTAAGTCCCTTCAAAAAGGATAATTCTTGTCCTATAATATTGCATTTCTACCTAAGAATAGAAGCCACTCTCAAGGATCAATTTTTGACTTTTGGTTTTAAAATTTATATTTGTCTTAAATCCAGCAGTCAAAGGAAGTGGTGCTGCAGTTGACACTCATGGAGGCTGCGTCAAATCCGGGCACTGAGATGACCCCTCCCATTTCAAATGCAGGGAGACTGACGTACCCTGATCACACCATCAATGAGAGTGAGTGGGATCTGAATTGTGTCTCCTGCCTGTAAGGCCTTTTAGTATGCTGTATTTCACAAACTGTAGGAACACACTGATGACAGAAACTAATCTTACTCACTTTTAATCCCCGGCACACAGTAGTTACTCAAAAAACAAAAAGGAAATGAGTAACTGAATCAATACAACTTAGTTGTCCTACAGCTACTATGCCAGTGGCTTTGGTTCCCAAAGTATTCTAAAACATATTAAGATGTTAAGATGCTGAAGATAAATGTATAAATAAAACATGTAAAACTATGTGTCGGACTTTACTCAGAAACCCTTGAATCAAAAGTTAGCCACAGAGCTGAGGCCAGACCTAGCTTTCCTAACTCCCAGTTTCATACACTGTGCCTCATGGAATGAATTTTTAAAAATCTTGTAAACGTTGATTTCCTGCCAAGTGCAGAACCAGTAACATTGCCCTCAATAGCTCATCACGTTATTTCCCAAGGAAGAATCTGTCTTGTATCCTTTTCACAAATATTTAGGTTTTAACTTCAATTAAGAGAACAGTAAGAAAAAATCAGATGAATGTATTACATTTTAGGCTTAGAATTTACAGATATGACCAACTTTCTTAATAATTAGAATCTACTCACTCTACCATTTTAAAAATTGATTAAGTATTTATTAACTATATACCAAATGGGCCAGGTGCGCAGGTTCACACCTGTAATCCCAACAGTTTGGGAGGCTGAGGTGAGAGAATTGCTTGAGCCCAAAAATTCAAGATCAGCCCTAGCAAAAGTGTGAGATATCCAGCTCTATGAAAAAAAAAATAGCCAGACATGGTGGTGCAAGCCTATAGTTCTGTCTACTTGGGAGGCTGAGGTTGGGAGGATCATTTGAGCCTGGGAAGTTGAGGATATGACGAGCGGTGACTGTGCCACTGCACTACAGCCTGGGTGACAAGAGCAAGACAGTCTCGAAAAAAAAGTATATACCAAATACCTGAATTTTCTAGTTTTGCCTATAAAAATCTATGCAAAGCAGGAGAAAATGTTATTATTTAATGGCTCCGTAAAGGTAGAGGGGTAAATATTTAGGTTTTTACCTAAATATTTGACATTTATCACTAGGATGGTTCTAAATTCACAGGACCCATCCTCTACTTAGCTTTGGCTACAAAAATGACAACAAATTTGAGTATTTATATAAACTAATCTTAGAAATGACATTTATGGGCTTATGTTTTGAGGCCACATATTGGGATTAGTTAGAATAAACTTATATTTCACTTATGCTTTACCTATGAAGCTTCCAATGGCTTAAGTGACATATAAAAAAATTAGAAAGTAATATTTGCCACTGCTTTCTCTTCAGGAAAATAATGCACTGGAATTTTCACTTGAAAGCATGTGTGTAAAGATAAAATATCAGGTGACATGGTTTAAAAATTTGGTAAATTCTCATTTTCCTTACACTAATTCTCATGAAAATATGAAAGTGAAAGCATTCAGCTAAATTGTGAAAGTCAAATTGCATTTTAAAAGCAGACATGGATACAATTATTAAATGTCAACTTAAGAAAAAAGCAGATAGATATGGAAAAAACCTGATATTGTATGATTCCTTTCATATGAACTGTCCAGAACAGACAAATCTACAGAGACAGAAAGTGGATTAGTGGTTTCCTGGGGGAGGGGAGAGCTGGGGACTGCTAATGGGTATGGAGTGACAGAAATATTCTTAAATTACATTGTGGTGATGGCTGTGCAGCTCTGTGAATATACTATAAACACTAGCTTTTATGGTATAGAAGTATTCATCAAGAAAGCTAGTATTTTGTTTTGTTATTACTATTTTTTTTGAGACAGAGTCTCGCTGTGTTGCCCAGGCTGGAGTGCAGTGGTACGATCTCAGTTCGCTGCAATCTCCATCTCCCAGGCTCAAGTGATTCTCATGCCTCGGCCTCCCGAGTAGCTAGGATTACAGGCGCATACCACCATGCCTGGCTAATTTTCATATTTTTAGTAGAGACGGGGTTTCGCCATGTTGGCCAGGCTAGTCTTGAATGCCTGGCCTCAAGTGATCCACCCACCTCGGCCTCCCAAAATGCTGGGATTAGAGGCGTGAAGCTGCCATTCTCTCCCCCTGGCCAAAAGAGTAAAGAAAAAATAAAACCGTATCCCAGAAGGAATGGCAGAGATGAGCACCATTTGCAGACCTAAAAGATGCAGGGGTAAGGCAGATTTTATGTGTCAACTCAGAGCAGAGGCACAGCTTGAAGACACTGTCCTGCGAGGATGGGCTGTGCTACACATCCAGAATCAACCACCATTACACAGTACTATATTCCCAACTGGCAGAAGACATGGGCCTGGCAACCCAGGGTAGAAGGAGAAGTGACCTTATCACTCCCAGGGACACACTTGGGAACACTTTGTTTCCTATCACCACAGCTCTAGGTCTGTGGGTCTAGAGGTCCCAATTCCCAGAGAAGGGATGGTTCTACCAGAGGACACAGTAAGCATCCCATTAACTTTTTAAAGTTACGACTGCCACCCAATCCATTTAGAATCCCATGCCATAAGTCCAGCAGACAAGGCAATGAGTCACTACACTGGCAGAAGTAATTGGCCCTGGTCATCAGGAGCTGGGGTGCTGATACACATCTCTTAGAGGACCCCTTGCCCAATTTTTATGGTAAGAGGACAAATGTGGTGGCCAGGGTCCTCCAGACTCCTCTGAGATGACGGTCTGGACCACCCTGTCAAGATAAGCAGAAGTGACAGATGAAGGTGAAGGGAACCTGGATGAGTAGCAGAGGTGGGAGAAGATGAGTCTCAGTTGCAGTCTCAAGTCCAGATACAGCACTGGGAGCTGTAACTCAGTCCCCCAATCTTATTCTTGTAAATTTCCTGGGAAAAGAAACCGATGCGAAACTAGATCATGCAGACTTTTATAGGCCGTAGGGAGGATTCTGGATACCTTTATCTTCACAGTTGAAGAAAATTCCTAGTCCTTTTCCCTTGTTCAGTTTCTAGAAAGTTGGTAGACAGACACATTATACTTCCCTGTCCTCTAGCCAGAGAATAGAAGATCTCTGGAGAAATTCTACAGACACTGATATTTGAGATCCTCCAATAAAACAGCCAGGTCCTTGGCCAGGTGCAGTGGCTCACACCAGTAATCCCAGCACTTTAGGAGGCCAAAGCAGGCAGATTGCTTAGGTCAGGAGTTCAAGACTGGCTTGGCCAACATGGTGAAACCCCGTCGCTACTAAAAATACAAAAATCAGCTGGGTGTGATGGCGCATGCCTGTAGTTCCAACTATTTGGGAGGCTCCTGATTCAAGAATCACTTGAACTTAGGAGGCGGAGGTTGCAGTGAGCTGAGATCGCGTCACTGCACTCCAGCCTGGGCGACAGAGAGAGACTCCATCTCAAAAAAACAAAACAAAACAAAATAAAATAGCTAGGTCTTTGCCTCATAATCCTATAGTCAAGCCCACCAGTTGACAAGCCTGGTATACCACAAAGAACTTCCAGTCTGCATTTTAGTGCCTCATTCTTTAAAAACAGGCCAGAGCCAGGCACGGTGGCTCTTGCCTGTAATCCCAGTACTTTGGGAGGCCAAGGCAGGAGGATTGCTTGAGCCTAGGAGTTCGAGACCAGCCAGGGCAACAAAGTGAGACCCTGTCTCTACAAAAAAAAAAGTTAATGTCTCAGATCATATGGGTACAAATATATGTATATACACATATATAAAAAAACCAGTTGGGCATAGTGGCATGGGCCTATAGTCCCAGCTCCTCAAGGGGCTGAGGTGGGAGGATCACTTGAATGCAAGAGTTCAAGGCTGCAGTGAACTATGATCATGCCACTACACTGTAGCCTAGGTGACAGAGTGAAACCCCCTGTCAAATTAATTAATTCATTAATTAATTTAAAAAAATAGGCCAGGAAGGAAATTCAGACATTTGAAGAAGGCTTCTAACATAACAGACTAGAGTATAAACAGACAAGAGGAACTAAGAGAAAGAAACAATGTGAGAGAACAAGACAAAAATCTTCAAATGCTATAATAAAGATCATTAAAGAGATTAGGAGAAAATAATGCATCCATAATACAAAAACAGGATGCTATAAGAAAGAACATTTTGGGAAAATTAAAAATTCAGTAGAAGTGTTACAAAACCAATCAGAAAAATTCTCCCATAAAGCTAAATTTAATAAACAAAGAGATGGGGGGGAGAGAGAGAGAGGGAAAAGGGTTAAACCAGGAGGTCTAGCAACCACCTAACAGGAATCCCAGGAAGAACAAACTAAGAAAATGGGTATGAAAAATAATTACAGAAATAATAATAAAAAATTCTTTAGAATTGAAGCTTATAAAATTCCAGATAGAAAAGATCCACTGAGGCTGGGCACAGTGGTTCACACCAGTTAACCCAATACTTTGGAAGACCAAGGTGGGAGGATGGCTTCAGCCCAGGATTCGAGACTAGCCTGGGCAATATGGTGAAACCCCGTTTCTACTGAAAATACAAAAACCACTCAGGTGTGGTGGTGCATGCCTGTAGTCCCAGTTACTCAGGAGGTTGAGGTGGGAGAGTCATTTGAGCTTGGGAGTTTGAGGTTGCAGTGAGCCGGGACTGTGCCACTCTACTGTAGCCTGGGCAACCGAGGATGGAAGGGGAGGCGATGGAAGGCAGGGAGGAGGGAAGAAGAGAGGGAGGGAAGGAAAGAAAAGAAAGGAAGGAAGAAGGAAGGAAGGAAGGAAGGAAGGAAGAGAAGGTGAAGGAAGGGAAGCCAGCCCAGCCAGCCAGGACTCGTGCCACTCCCACTGTAGCCCTGGGGCAAACTGATGGGAGGGGAGGGCAGGGAGGGAGGTAAAGAAAGGAAGGAAGGAGGAAGGAAGGAAGGAAGCAAGCAAGCCAAGCCAGGACTGTGCCACTCCACTGTAGCCATGGGCAGACCGAGGAAGGAAAGAGGTAAGAAGAAGGAAGGAGGAAGGAAGGAAGGAGGGAGGGAGGGGAGGCGAGAGGGAGGAACAGGAAGGAAGGAAGGAAGGAAGGAAGGAACCAAGTAACTGAATAATGAATGGAAAGCAGATATAAATAAAGAGGGAAAATTATTTCCACCCTAGAATTTGATATCTAGCCAATACTATCCATCAAAGGGAGGGTAGAATTTTCAGAGGTATATGGTCTCAAAAATGTGCCTCCCTCACACCCTTTAAGAAGGTAATAAAAGACAAACTTCACTAATATCAGAGTGTAAACCATAGAAGAGGAAAATGCAAGACCCACAAAACCAAAAACTAGCATAGGGGAGGCAAAGGGAATTCTCGGGGTGATAATGAAAGGAAGGTAGAGGAGAGCAGCTGTGCAGTGGGCTAGAAAACAACCAGCCGAGAAAGGAACAGGGCAGGGGGCTCCAGGAAAAACATTTCTATGAAAAACAAGAAACGGAAAATACCCAATAAATTTGTCTATAATGGGAAGAGTTTTACAGATCTGTCAGAGTTTGAGGATGATTGACCTAAGCAACTGAAAAAATAAGACAACTATTAACTTCAGGAGAAACAAAGATGTACAGGAAAGGGAACTTCATAATGCCACAGCTCATCAATAAAAAAAAGGCTGTCACAATAAAATAAACATGGAATATTAACCTAACCAAAAACATGAAATAACTTTATGTGAAGCATGAGGGCATGAGGTAGGAGGGGAAGAGATTGTGTGTGCTAAGTGCATGTGTGTGAGTGTGTGTATTGGTATATGAATTGATGGGGTAGTGTAAGACAGTAAAAAAATCCCCAACTTACAGGATGGCAAAAATAAAGTATAAGATTGAAAAAAAAATCAAGAAATAATAGTCAAAGCATATTATTTAGAACATGGTGGTGAATATCAGAAAAATCAGCTATAGAGACAAAAGCAGCTGCCCCTGGTAGCAGGGCTGAGAATGTGGGAAGGAACTACTCTTTTTGTTATAAACTTGAGGTATCATTTGGCTTTTAAACCATGTGCATGCATAAAACAAAAAACCTCAACCTGAACCAAATGTGGCAAAATCTGCTAAACTGAGTGGTGGGTATTCTCACATTTCATATGTCACTCTCTATTCTTTTCTTATTTTAAAACTAATTCCTATTTTTTTAAATTTCCTTTTTAGCGCTAGAAATTCCGTTACTCTATTACTCATTACATGTTAGTTGCCCCTATTATGTGGAGGGAGAAGAGCATAAACGAAGAAAAATACAGTGTTCTTTACATTAACGGAAAAAAAAACCAAAAACCTGTGGCCCACCCTGGTTTTTATTTTCAAACAAACACTTAATATTAATTTAAACAACACCTTGATAAGAAAGTTTTATTTGATACATCGAAAAGAAAAATTCCCAGACGTAATAAACATAACAAGTGGGGAAAGAAGAGAATTTTGAATATATATGAGCCCATTAATGTGTAACAAAACCGAACCTCTTGATACATGCATGCAAACATACACAAAAGTACATGTGAAAAGATGTGGAAGAACAGACAGCAGGCTGGGTGCAGCAGCTCATCTCTATAATCCCAGCACTTTTGAAGGCTGGGGCGGGCAAACTGCTTGAACTCAGGAGTTTGAGACCAGCCTGTCCAACATGGCAAAACCCTGTCTCTACAAAAAAATACAAAAATTGGTCAGGCGTGGTGGCATGCACCTGTAGTCCCAGCTACTCAGGAGGTTGAGGTGGGAGGATGGCTTGATCCCAGGCTGGGGGGTGTTGAGGCTGCAGTAAGCCGAGATTGTGCCACTGCACTCCAGCCTGGGCAACAGAGTCAGACCCTGTCCCAAAAAAAGAAAACAAACAAACAAACAAACAAAAAACAAAAAAACCCCCAAACTGTCAGTACAGTTACCTCTGGGGAGCTAAATGGGTCTGGGGATGGAATGAAAGTGATCTAAAGTTTATTTTCACTTGTTTTGACTGGTAATTAATAGACATGGTAAGATTTTCCAATGGCAAAAAAGATACACATGGTGAAAATAAGTCCCTCTCCCACTTCTGCCCCTAGTTCCCTTCTCCAAAGGCAGCCTCTTATTACTAGTCTGTTACCTCTTAGCATTATTCCAGATACACAGAAGCCTATGTTTACATACAGTACTTACTTTTTGAACTATAAATGTTCTCACACCAGTCATGCTGTTCTACCCCTGACTTTCTTCCTGCAAACAGCCCTTGTCTTAGAAACAATGCAAGCTATTTTCCACATACAGTTTACCTCCAGCCGGCCTTGCTGGCTTTTATACACCACTTGAGGATTCTCCTGTAGTATGCTGCCATAGAGCTCTCGAAAGTGGGCTATATTGGGCTTCACAATATTCAGCACTTTTGTTTTATCCTCTCCAACCACCATCCGAAAGTCACCTAGTTAAAACAAAGAGATAAACACATCTTCCATTAAGAATCCACACGCTGACCTATGAATGACACTCCCCACACTGATACTGCATGGGTTCACTCTGGCAGGATCCCTCATCAAAACACTTGTTTTTCCTCCTCAAAATGTGGGCACTTTACCCAAGAAATGTGAGCTCTTGTTTGGAGGAAAACAGGGTCTCTCAAATCACAAAGCCCTTTATGCCAGTTAAATTTACAGTTACTTAGGTTTAGAAGGTAATCACAAGCGAGTAGCTCACTTGTTTTAGTTTTTCCAATGCAGACACTTCTGCACCTACAAAGTCCTGTCTCATGGGTCAAACTCTGCCTGTGGCCAACGAGGGAGACAGGAGCTGTGCACCATCACTGCAGACTTGTCCTTGCCATTGCTTCCTCACGGTTGACCTGTATGCTTATGAGGGCTTTTGAGGTACTTTATGAATATAATTAATCTTATCGTATTTTACAATGGCAAAATAAGGCTTAAAAGTTCTATAAAAGGAGGTTTGCATTGAAGATGAAATTGAAAACAGATAGAACTTGTTAAACTGCAAGTGATGAGAAATGAAGATGTTACATTTGCCTATGGGATGAATTGAGCTGTAAAACAAGTAATTCGGAAAGACAAAAACATTTCTGAATCAAAAGAAAAGTGCCCCGCCAATGCCACTGACAACCATCGGCAAGATGGAGGAGAAAGGAACGGGAAAGTGGATACGCTTGAGTGCATGCCTACTGGGCTAATGCGAAATCAGAAGAGGCTGGACACACGCAGAACCTTCTGAGTCAAGCATGCTGAAAGCGATGTGGCTGAATCCTTTGTTGGAGAGACAGCAATTTGTCAGGGGGAGTGGAGGGGTGGCAAGTGTAGGCAGATACTCCAGCTGCTGAGGAATCTCCTGGGGCTAGGATGACGATATAATTTATCATCCAAACTAGGTCACTTCTGAGGGTGAAGGGATTGCTATAAATAATTACACTAGGACAAGTATAAACTGAGCAAACCAGGACATATGGTTACCCTTGCCAATTTCTTTTTTCTGGAGAGGGGAAGGGATCATAGAAGTCATTACTTGCCACAGTGGATTTTCCTAGTGCAAATTGTTGGCTTGTTTTAGAAAAAGTAAAAATACAAAGAAGACTGACAATATGTACTTCATTGAGTAAGGAATAAAATATGCTAGGTTTTAAGCTTCAAAGGACCAATTTACACTACAATGTGGTGGAATGCAACTGGGGACTGCAAGCTTAGAAAAACAGACCTCCAGGCCCGGCGCGGTGGCTCACACCTGTAATCCCAGCACTTTGGGAGGCCAAGGCAGGTGGATCACGAGGTCAGGAGATCAAAACCATCCTGGCTAACATGGTGAAACTCCATCTCTACTAAAAAACACAAAAATATTAGCTGGGCGTGGTGGCGGGCACCTGTAGTCCCAGCTACTCGGGAGGCTGAGGGAGGAGAATGGCAGGAACCTGGGAGACGGAGTTTACAGTGAGCCAAGATCGCGCCACTGCACTACAGCCTGGGCAACAGAGCGAGACTCCGTCTCAAAAAAAAGCAAAAAACAAAAACAAAAACAAACGGACTTCCAAAGAGCCTCCGGAACCTAACCTTGGTGTATGGGGGGTCTGACTGTTCAGGTGAGTGAGCAGAAGCGAGTCCCAGTCCTAACAATCTGCTCAAATATGGATGACCTTGATTTTTTCACTATTATTTTGAAGGGAAAGAGAGTTGTTAGATAGTTAAAACCTGGGATAACTGATAGTAAGGAGGTTGAGAAATCAGTCCTTTCACATATTGCTATTGACAGCATAAACTGCTAAAATTCTTCTGGAAAGCACTGAAGCAAGAAACCCCATCTCCGGAGCAAGCCTAAAGAAATAAGCCAGAAACACAGAGTAAGAGGTAACGTTTACTGAGCATCCGGTAAATACCAGCCACTGTGCCAAGTGCGTTGTGGTATTGCTTCATTTCACACACACAGCTCTCCTCTCAGGTAGATAGGATTCTATCCCCATTCACATACAAGGCAACAAAGACAGAGATTAAGAAACCTGCTTAAGGTTTCCCACGAAAATACACTACATATATAAAATTGCTCACTGAAGCACTATTTGTAATATTGAAAGCATCCCAAATGTCCAACAACAGGGGAAAGGATGCACTATGATGGCATACTGTTACTATCACGGACAGTAATCACACCCAACAAGATGGAAAGTGATCATTTAATAACATGCAGTAAGAAACAAAGATACAAAAGTATAACAGGCCCGGAGCCCGGAGTGGTGGCTCACATCTGTAGTCCTAGCACTTTGGGAGGCCAAGGCCGGGGGAATGTTTGAGCTCAGGAGTTTGAGACCAGCCTGGGCTGGAACATAGCAAGGCCCTGTCTCTATATAATTTTTTTTTTTAAGCATACCAAAACAAAAAAAAAAACTTCATAAAAAATGAGAAAAACAGGACAAAGGGACTATATAAAAATGCTCACTTTTGCTCTAATAAAATACATTTATTGTGGGTTTTTGTATGTGTGCTTTAATATGCTATCTCATTTGGTCATGGCAAAGATCCATAAAATAGGTACTATTATTCTCAGTTTTACAGATGAGGAGATGGAGGTGAAAAGGTAACATGCCCCAGGTCCAACTGCCTCTCGGTATTAGGGCAGTGACATTTTACGTGATGATTTTACTCTTATAATTTCCCTCCATTTCCCTCACTTCTATAATGTTGGCATATTACTTTCCAGCATTTTAAAACAAATTCATGGGATGCACAGATGATGACTTGACAAATGTGAATGGAGCGGTGGCTGAGTTAACTTTCAACTTGTGTAAATCCTTATGTGTATAAAAATGGATTCCATTATCTTTGAAGAGATGAAATGTCATCAAATGCTGACTCTAACAAGGCTGGCCCTGAAGTGAAAGATCAGTTTCTAAAACTGTTGAGTTCTAAATATTTGTGTCATTCCTTCTTTCTGTACATTCCACAAACAAAAAGTTCCTCAATTTTAGAGTCACTTTCCGAGAGAAGGATTTACCATTTTAAAATATCAAGAATTATGTTTTACAATCCAAATCCTCGCCCTAAAAGAACAATTGCTTGCCATGATTAAAGGACCTAGAAAATACTCCAGGCTCTCGGAGAACAAGGACTGGGGCTTATGTCTGCATCAGCTCCTTGTGCACTGCCTGGCACAGGGAACACACACATTAATAAATGTGTGCAGAACTGAATTTCTCTCACTGCTGTGCAGCTGAACTAGCTCAGCCACAGGGGATAGGAAGCAAATGGGCTTATGACTCATTTCTTCAGAACAAAATGAATAAAATCATGGGCACAGCATGAACCAGCATCTGATCATAACAATCAATTTTTCTTACCTTCGGAGATTTGTTTGCAACAAAACAACAGCAATGGATTAAAACTGACTGCTGACTTTATTTTATGCCTCTAGAACTGCCAGTACAGTACAACAGGCATCCAAAAGGATAATTTCTCCTTGACCTTGAAATGATACAAACTCCAAGGCCTGTAAGCCACCTGTAGGTGGCCTTCCCTGTGATTCAGGCATGCAGCCAGCAGTCAGGGACCTCATTACAAGTGTGCAGATGTGAAGGGCTGCACAGTACAGCAGCAAGGCCCTGGCTTTCAAGTCTGGCAACGTCCCAGGGTGACTGAGGTTAAGTTACTTAAACTTTCTGAGTCAGTTTCCTTCTCTGTAAAATGGCTTAACAATCATAGTAACCTTACAAAGTTGCTTTCAGATTTAATGAGTTAGGGCAGTGGTCCCCAAACTTTTTGGCACCAGGAACAGGTTTTGTGGAAGACAATTTTTCCATGGATGTGGGTCCAGGGGACAGTGGTTTCAGGATGACTCAAGCACATTACATTTATTGTGCACTTTATTATTACATTGTAATATATAATGAAAGAATTATACAACTCACCATAATACAGAATCAGTGGGAGCCCTGAGATTATTTTCCTGCAACTAGACAGTCCCTCTGGGGGTGATGGGAGACAGTGACAGATCAGGCATTTGATTCTCATAAAAAGCCAGGAACCTAGATTCCTCACATACCAGTTCAAATAGGGATTGCACTCCTATAAGAATCCAACGCAGCTGCTGATCTGACAGGAGGTGGAGCTCAGGCAGTAATGCAAGTGACGGAGATTGGATGTCAATACAAATGAAGCTCGCCCACCACTCACCTCCCGCGGTGTGTCCTGGTTCCTAACAGGGGGTTCCCAAGGGTTGGGGAACCCAGAGTTAAGGTATTAGAGAATGCTTTTTAAGCAGTAAAACAGATACTACTTATGATATGTATATAGCATAGTTGAAGGATGGAGGGTAGAGGAAGCAGTGGGTCTTGGAGATAATTACCAGCTAACTTTTCTCCCTTTGAACTAACTGCAAGACTGCTGCCATTTCAGTTCAGTGAATATCTGAGTGGCTACAAAGTACCAGGAGCTGTGCTAGGCAATGGAGATCCAGGCTGGGCAACCCTAATCTGAACACCGGAAATGCAAAATGCCCCCTAACTTGAAACCCTTTGAGCACTGGCATGACACCACAAGTGGAAAATTCCACACCTGACCTCATGCAGTGAGTCGCACATATTATTAAAAATACCATATAAAATCACTTTCAGGCGATGTGTATGAGGTGTATATGAAACATAAATGAACTTCGTGTTTAGACTTGGGCTGTCCCCAAGATATCTCATTGTATATGTGCAAACATTCTAAAATCTCAAAAATTACAAAATCCAAAATACTTCTGGCCCCAAGTATTTCAGATAAGGGATACTCAACCTGTCCAGATATAGGCTCTACCTCAGGCAGCAAAGGGTATGAAAAAAAGATCATTTCAGTGCAGATTTTTATGTGGTAGTGTTTAAGGACTGCAGCCCAAACTGGATATTGATATGGCAAAATAATAATCATTTTCATGACTGTTTTTCAGATATAATTCATA